AAAGAAAAAAAGAAAAAGACCTCTCCTGCTTAGGAAGAGATCAAATTTGCCTAATATAGGGCAAAACCAAGCTTCTAGTTCTATCTCAGAGTGAGGAAGAATACTCTTTATCACAGAAGACTGTACCATGTTCCATAACCACCTGAAAAAAAGGCAGGGGGGAGTTTTAATTTGAAACTCAAATTTCTCATGTGCTATCTCCTTTGCAGTGCTGTGGAAACAGCCTAATGGTTTCTTCTGAAACTCTTTTCAGATGATTGCCCTGGTTATGGATTTCTTCACAGACACTGATATCTTCACAGACCTCTTGGAAGCCTGTAGCCAACGGCAAGTTAAAGTGTATATCCTTCTAGATCAGTCTTCATTTTCCCACTTTCTAAAAATGTGCAAGGATCTGGGAGTTGATCTTGAGCAGGAAAAGGTGAGCTTTGTCATATTTATAGGGGTAGGGAACTGATCATCTTATGGCTGTAATCTTTAAGCTGTGAAGAAATTATTATACTTGCTGCCACAACTTAAAATGGGTGTTATGCAGCTCCAGCTCTATCTTGGAAGATTTAACTATTCCTACATAAGATAGTAATTAATAGAAAATCTGAAACCTTTGTAATTGGATGTTACAGCTGCTTTCTGAGAACAAATACTAATTGAAAATTCAAGGAAATGCAGGAGTAATGTCCAGTTCCTAAAGCATTACTGGAGTTGCTTGGGCATGTCAAGACTTTGAAGGCTAAGGGAGAAGCAGGTTCTCAGGTTCTCAGGAATTTGGATCCTGATGATTAGGTGACAGGAATTTTCACAGTCCCATTCTGCACAGTCAGTTTATGGGTTTGCCCCTTAATGTCACCTCTTTGGCCATTAAATGCTCACTTTTTTCCCTGTGGGTGACTCTTGTGCCAGTGCACAGTTCATCAGGGATGGTTGTTGCTGTGTTACTCCTTTAATGCAATAATTGAAATTTGCAGTGCACCTGACTCTTGCTGTGTCATTAACAGCTGATGAGAGTTCGGATTATCACGGGGAGCACCTACTGCACCAGGTCAGGCACCAAAATCATTGGAAAAGTCCGTGAAAAGTTCATGTTGATTGATGGCATTAGAGTGACCACAGGCTCCTACAGGCAAGTGCAATTTCTTTTTCTTGCTTTACATGATTTCTCTGCATAGAAAGGAAAACTGATCAGATTTTAAGACCAACATTTATCCTTAAAAGAGCCCACTGCTCATCAGTTGGGTTGTAAAAACAACATAACTAAATGTGGTGAAGGGGAATTTCCAGTGAATACTTTCTTTACTGATTATTTTGAATTAACTCATCATTTTCTCCCTCTTCCTTTGCTAGTTTTACATGGACAGATGGGAAGCTGAACAGCAGTAACATTTTGATCCTGTCAGGCCCAGCAGTTGCACACTTTGACCTGGAATTTCGGATTCTTCATTCACGGTCAAAGCCTATCAACCTCAAAGAGTTTTCCAGCTGCAAGAAGAACAGGGTGTGGGACCAGCTGTTCAGGATAACAGTGGCTTCCAGAGACATGACCAGGGAGCATTTCCTGAGAATGGAATTTTTGTATCTGAGAGCATTTGTGGGAGAGCTGAAGAGGAAGAGGAGCTGGCTGCACACCTCCAGGGAGGCAGTGTACAGCCCAAATAACACGCTGCACACCTCTCCCCCGCTGACTAAGAGGAATGGCTCCCTGGTTATGAGGCCACACTGGATCATAGAGAGATGAACTGCATGTCCATGCAGAGCAAGCAGCAGAAACTCAGGAATCACGTCTGTCCATCCCTGCCCAGCACTGTCCTGCAGTATGTTTGTGAGGGCAGCTGGGAAAGAAACCTCAGACTGACAGAAAGTGAAACTGGAATTGTGGCTTTGTTTGAAGAATACTATACAGCCATTATTGACTTCTACTATTCTGTTAAATTTTCACTTCTCAACCTGTTCATGCATGTTTTAAGCTGATGGGTTGGCAGTGTTATAGCTCAGTAGCTCAACCCTTTTCTGTTTTATGTTAAGAAGTCTAGGTATTGAAATTCATATTGCTTGAAAGTCTGTTCCAAGATGAAAGCAGGCTCTGAAATCAGCCTTGGTCTTGTAGAAACTCTCCACCAACTGGTTCATGACACAAACCAGGAGTAATCCTAATCTAGAAGCCAGTAGGTCAGTACCACACTATTACTTGTCAAATGTTACATTTTCTTCACACAAAGCTATGCTGGCAGGCAGAATGAGCTAATGTGTCAGCAAACAAGGCTTTAGTGTGACTGAATTTCAAATGGCCTTTGTATTAGACTGGTTGGATTGCTGGACATCATGAAATAAATGTGTGAGGGATAATATTCTAAAGGACCCCCCATGTTTGTAGGAGAGCCAAATGAGGCCAATTCCTTGGCATTACCAGACAGACTTTTTGTTATCTTTGTGGCTGCTGCTGCTGTCTGGTTGTGTGGGAAAAGCTGAGTATATCTGAAATCTATGAAGCTGCTGCCTCTTCACAGAAGTCCTAATTTCACCAGAAATGCAATGACACAGAAGTCAGTGACAGAACCATTTTTAAGGTCTCTTGGAAACTCAATTTTTTAATCCATTCATTTCTTGAGGGAAAACAATCACCCTCAAATGAATAAGCTATCCTCCCAAACAACTGCACATTGAGGCACTGAAGTTCCAGCAGCCTGCCAGTGCAGATACTCATTAGCCAAAACAAAGGTTTATCATTTCTTAATTGTTCTTGTGGGTCTTCTACTGCAAAATACTCAGATATGTGCTTGTGTGAGTGTCTTGTGGGTTCTGGGCTTCAGAGGGGAAGGTTAAAACTTGGCAGAGGAATTGCAGCTAAACAGCAGCAAGGTGACATTAAACTGGACAGATGGAGCTTGCAGAAATGTACATTGCAAAAATGTACATTGCAAAAATGTACTGATTAGTATGCAGCTAATCTGGGCCCTCTTTCTTCTGCTCTGACAATCATGGAAATGTAATCATTCAGGCTCTCCTAATCTGTAAATATTCAATAGTTCATAGCTTTGCACTATTAACTTCCATCCAGATGTAAAGAAGTTTAAAATATGTATTTTTATTCTTTGCTATATTTTCCATAAAGGCAAACCCGATACAATATTAGACTCTATGCAAAATACTCTTTGTGCAGTCTTGATTTCATAATAATTATCTGTATATATTTTCTCAAGCATAACTTCTCCGCTTTGCTATTCATCTCTTTAATAGGCAGCTCTTTCCATGTGGGATTTTTTCTCAATGATTACTAATATATTGATGATACAAAATACTGAGTTGTGTTTATTTTTGAGAGTGTGGACTTAATATCAAAAGTGCATTGAAACATATACTTAGAACTTTAAAGAACATCATAATTATAACTTAATAACCGCTTTTACATGTGGTTACTCAGCATAACAAGTGACCAGGGAGGCAGAGTGTTGTGAGGTACAGTTTGTGTTAATCACCATAACTGCACTGCTGGCGTGGAAAGTTATCAGAATGTAAGATGTGATTAGATTTTTACTTTCCCATAAGCATGAATATATGACAGTATTACTAAACTTACTAGAAACAGTTTGGGCTTTCTATTTTTTATATTTCCTTTAGCTTCTACTTAATTAACTCAAAGCCTACATTAAGTTTGATTCAATAGTAACTTCCATGGGCTTTCACGGGTTTGTTTGTGGTTTAAACAGGCTGTAAGCAGCCTGTGGTGGGGCACAGCTGTATCTATTCACTATTAGTGTGATAATTTTCTTTCTTGTCCTTCAGCTGCCTGGTGTAAAGTGCAGCAGCTGTGGAGGCATCCTTCACTGGAGAAGGAATCAGCTCTAATTAATTAATTAATGAGCGCAGGGACTTGAGGGCAGTGATCTTCTGACCCTGTTAAATGCTCCCCCAGGTGAACACAGAAGGTAATGGGTTGGAAAAGACATTAAAGCTGATCTCATCCCAACCCTTGCCATGAGCAGGGACACATTTCACTATCCCAGGTTGCTCCAAGCCCTGTCCAACCTGGCCTTGGACGCTTCCAGGGATTCAGGGGCAGCCCCAGCTTCTGTGCCAGGGAATAAGGTGCAAACCTGATGCCAGTTTGCAAATTATTCCCTTATAGTCCACTGTTCCTCGGCCAGGTACAGCCAAGCCACCCACCTGCACTGCAGTTTGCTGGGCAGTAGGTGTTATTCAGTGCTGACAGGAACTCTGGTGTCTCTTGGCTGCAGATCTTTGCCTTGTGAGGGAAGAAAGGCAGAGGGAATGTGAAAAATGCAATTCACTTGTTTTTTAAAATTTTAAAAGTTTAATTGTAATAAAATTATAAAAATAGTAATACAATTCAAGTAATAATAATTTGGGCAATTTGGATTAGGACAATATGAGACAATAGAAACAAAGAGTTACGGATGTCTGGATACCTTTTTCTGGGCAGCATAAGCCCGAAAAAGGCCCCACGTTAACAGAGGATTAACCCTTAAAGCAACAGCCTGTTGCAAATTCATACACCTCATCCACGATGCATAAATTCCATTCAAACACAGGATTCTGTGTGCTCAGTGTCAGCTGCTTCCTCTGAATCCTGACAGTGCCCTCAGGGCTGAGCGAGGCAGGAAGAAGTTTGTTTCTCCTGATAATGGAGCAACAAATTCTCTTCCTCTAAAAGATTTAGGTGTCCTGTGGCTGCTATCTCAGTGCGAGTCCCTTCTTTAAAAAAAAGTATCCTACATAGCATAGTTTCTATTTTAACATTTTGTTACAACCTAAAACTATATTTAACCCACTACTTAAGAGAATTAACACAGCATAACTTTCTAACACAACACATATAATATTCATTTTAATATTTGCGAAAAGCCAATCATAAAATACACATTTTTCACAGAAAGAAGGTTTTCACAGATCTGCCATGGGCCGAAACCTTCCGGCCCTACGCGTCAGGGGAAGGCCGGGGGCGGGTGTGTGGTGTGTATTCAGTCTCCATGGCAACGCGGGCCGCGTCACGTGGGTGCCGCTTCCGGCCGCCCTCTCACCCCAAGATGGCGGCGCCCGTGGGGCCGGTGAAGTTTTGGAAGCCGGGTGAGGGATGTGGGGGTGCGGGACGTGCGGGTGCGGGGCACGGAGCGCCGCCGTGGGCTGCCCGCGGCGAGGGGTGCGGGCAATGGGGCCCTGCTGGCCGTGCTGAGGGGTGTGGTGGACAGAGCTCCGGGCTGTCGTGGTGAGGGGTGCGGCGCTGCCCCCCTCGGCGCTTTGGGGTCGCTGGCGCGTTTACAGCGAAGGGCAGCAAGGCTGTGAAGGGATTCGGGAATGTGTCTTACGGAGAGCGGCAGCTGGGTTTGCTTTGTGTCCAGAAGAGGAGGATTAGGGGTGACCTCATCGCTCCCTAAACTCCCTAACGGGAGCTGTGCTGAGCCGGGCCCTCCTGCCGTGTCTGCCGTCAGAGAACCGGGGAAACAGCCTTAAACCGAGACACGGCATTAGCTATTATAATTTTTCCGTTAGCTATTACAATTTTTATTTCACTGTTCAGGCAGTAGAATAATTTCCCGGGGAGGTGATGGTGTCACCATCCCTGAGGGATTTTAAGAGGAGTCAGAGTCCGATGCTCGGTGATGTGGTTTAGGGATTACAGTGGTGGTGAAGGTTGGGCTGGATGATAGTGAAGGACTTTTCCAACCTTGATGATTCCATGAGGGCAGTGGGGAAATGGCTGTGCCCTCCCTGCCAAAGCCCAGGGGGTGTTTGTGGCTCCGGCTGGGTGCTGCCCGCTGTGGGGTGGCAGGGGAGGGGATGGAGGGGGTGCTTTGTGGGGTGGGTGTGCTGCCCTTTGCCGGGGTCTCCAGGAGATGTGAAGTGTGCAGGGGGATCCCAAGCAGTTCTGAGGGAGGAGCAAAATCCTGGCCATGGTTTGAAATAACCGTGGTTAACACCAGGGAGAGCAGCTCCGAGAGATGCACCTTGGAAATAATGTTGATAATTGTTGATTTGTGGTAGAACTGCTTGGCAGCTCTGAAAAGGACCAGCCTTTTAACAGTGGGAGAAGTGCAAACAAGGAAATACTACAAAACGGGGAAATCTTCCTCTTTGCTCTCAGACTTTCCTGGTTGAATGTGCAGCTGGAGAGGACCCATTCTGTTACTGAGATGAGCTTTGACCTCTAGTTCCCTTGCATCATTCCACAGTTTCAGTTGTTAGTAGCTTTGTGATAATTTGCAGCAGGAATAAATCAAGTTTCAGTTCCTGAGGTAAATTCAGAGCTGAAGTGAGGGGCATATCCCTTGTTTATTGTTAGGTAATATTTTGATTGCTTTCACAGAAAACTTGTTTGTTTTCTTTTTATTTTCCTACTTGTATGAAACATATTTATTTTGGCTGTATTGTGATACAGCAGGCAGATGTGTGTTTCTCCAGTTAAAATTCACTCCTGTTGTGTAGGCTCAGAGGGTCCTGGTGTCAGTGTCTCGGAGGAGAGGCAGAGCCCTGCTGAGAGCAGCGCTGTCACTGTCATCTACAACCCCTATGCTTCCCTCTCCATTGAACAGCAAAGGCAAAAGCTGCCTGTTTTTAAGGTACAGGAGTTCGTTTTGATATATTGTGTTGTTTGATGCCTGATTCTTGTGTTTGTTTTTGGTGGATTTTTTTTATTTATTTCTCTTTTTTTTTTTTAAGAGCAGTATAAAATCCCTTTGCAACATAAATAATAATTTTATGGCTTTGCTCTCTATTTATTGGAATTTATTGTCCTGTTTGGCAGCTGTAAATGACAGTTCTAAGGGCTTTGTTGATATATGTTATTTACTATATGCTGTACATGTCATTTATAGATTTTAAAGGACTGTTTAGCTTTTGGCAGTGAACTCCATGTAACTGTGTCTGCCAGATATGTAAATATTATAATTTTAATTGTTTTTTTATTTTTGTACAATCTGCTTTTTATGTCTAAATGTCATCTTCTCTTTCAGCTCAGAAATCACATACTTTACCTAGTGGAGAACTACCAGACCCTGGTGATTATTGGGGAAACAGGATGTGGGAAATCAACACAGATTCCACAGGTAAGTGTCTGTGTGGGTTGGTGAAATCAGGGGATTTTCCATGGAATGTTGAGCAGAACCAGGTGAAAACACCAAGTGTGAGGAGCCAACACCTTGGTGTGAGCACAGCATGACAGTGTCTCTCTCTCCCCCCTGTTGTTTGCAGTACCTGGCAGAAGCTGGCTGGACAGCTGAAGGCAGAGTTGTTGGGGTGACACAGCCTCGTCGGGTCGCTGCAGTTTCAGTGAGTGTCCCCATCTCTCAGTCTGCTGGCATTGGAACCTCCAGTTTATCAGCAGTTTATTTATCAGTTTATCCTGCTGAATAGCAGGAATCTGCACAAGCTCTTGAAGGAAAAGATGTTTCTGCTTGTCTTTCTCTAAGAGCTGGTGTTACACACTGAATTCTACCTGATTAGTGGGTCTGGCCAAACATTCCAGCATTCCAGGACTGCAGATGTAGAAGCTTTGAAGTAAAACTGACTGATGTCAGCAGAACTGTGTGCAGAACTTAGGGCTGAGCTGTGATTGACTCAGGACAAAAGCTGTGCTTGTGTGACCCTCAACTTCTTTCACAAGGTGAAACAGTGATGTAAATCTGCATTTACTTGTGCAGCCAGTGGAAGAAACAAGAGGTTGTGTGCCTCTTTCTAGGTTTTGAATTTTTTTTTTGTGTTTGGGTTTTTTTTTTGTTTTTATGGGGTGTGGTTTTTTTGTTTCTCCTTGTAAAAATGTCAGGCAGAAGGAGGAACAGTCTTTTTATGAGAAATTTTTGCATATACCTATTTTGTCTTGAAGAGCAGAACATCATCTGTGAGGGGGAAAAGGAGATGTTGAGGGCAGGAACTTCTCTCTGGTAGCAGCATGCACAGAAAGCATCCCCTGCTCCTTTGTCTTCACAGCTGCTGCCAGGCTCTGATGTGGGTGAAGTTTCTGCTGCAGCATTCTTTTTATACAGAGAGCTGAGGTGCCATTTTATAACTCTCATTTTGCCTGTTCTCTGTAATATAATAAATGGTATCTACAACACACCAGCATTTTCCTCAGTAGATACTGTAGATCCAAGATTCCCTGACCAGATCCAGCCTGGTTAAGGGGACAGTCTCTAGCAGAGCTCTGCATCCTGTGCTTTGGGCAGTCTGCCTGCAGTGTCCTCCCTTTTCTCCTTCATAGGGCATCCAGCTGACAGAGCACAAGTTTTACAGGAGGTGTTGTGAGTGCTGCAATGATTTCTCACAGCAAACTCTCTTCTCTTCTCTTCTCCCTTTCATGTCTCAATGCGTCATTTTTAAGCCTAAAATAGAAAGATTATTCCATTCAGGCTTAGTACATGGACACAGCAGGGTTTTTCTTTGAGGCTGTTGTTGCAGCCTGCCTGGACTGTGGCTGTTACAGGAGATGAGAAATATAACTGGTGATTTATTGCTTTGTACTGAAGTGAAAGTGATATTTTATTTTAATAGTGACTTTTCTGCTCTCCCATCTAGAGCATGGGAGTTGTTAGAAATAAAGATAGGTAGCTGCAAAGATATAAAGCATAGTTTAGAAATTCCTGCACTTCTGTTTGCATTATCCAGATTGACAATTATTCTGAATTCTTGGGCTCAAAGTGATAAGATTCCAACTGAAATCATGAACTCACTGCCTGTAGGCATGGGCTAGAGTGTCACTCAAAGACTGACACTAACTTGTGATTGGAATTCTGCAGGGACTAATTCATGTATTGTGGAGTTTGATTGTATTTTTAGATGTCTTTGTAATGACACAAGGTTGAAGGGTGCTGGGCTGTCTGTTGCTCATGAGGATCTCTTTTGTCAGGTTGCAGGCCGAGTTGCTGATGAAAGAGGGGCAGTGCTGGGACATGAGGTTGGATATTGCATCCGCTTTGACGACTGCACAGACCCACAGGCCACAAGAATTAAGGTGAAACACCAACAGTGGGGGGTTACTCTGAAGAGATTAGCTGAAACTCTTCAAGTTCTTTTGCAAAATTAATTGAGAACCTTGTAATTGTTTTGCGAAATTAATGAGAACCTTGTGATGCCCACTCAAGAGAATAAGTGACATTTCAGTTTCCCAAGTGGGTACCCCAAAATTGTGCTTGAAATGGCAGTGGCAATCCAAACCTTAATAAAATGAGTACCTGTTTTATTCTGATAGTGTGACAAGCACCATTTTGAATCTAGAGGACAATTTCAGGGTATGGCCAGCTCTTGGTACAGCCCTGGTGTGACCTGGGTGTCACTCAAAGTCATAGGGAAAGGCTGCAGTGAATCACAGATTAAAAGTATCCTCCTCTAACAATAGATTTTGATTAAAAGCACAGATAAAACCCAAGATGAGTAGGCTGAGAGATAATTTGGTGGATTAAATAGCAACTTTGCAGCTGTTTTTTAGTGCTGTGAGCAATGTTAGTGTTGCTTGTGTTCAGCAGAAGAGGATTTGCTTTAGTTGTGCTGGAATAGCAGTGATGATGAATGAGACAATTTACTTTGTGATTTTTTTTTCAAAAGCCGGGGGTCCTTTTACAGAGAAGGAAATGGAGATATTTGTTCATTAAATAGAGCTGAATTTAATTTTTTAAAGCATGATTATTCATTTAAAGTTGGAAATTTGGAGGGTTTTAGCATAAATTCTTACCTAGTTCAAGACAACAGTTGCAATCACAGTCTAATTTGGTAGATCATTAGAAAGTTAAAGGTCAGGAAACATTCAGGCAAAAGCCTACAAAAGCATCCATAAAAATCACAGTTAGTGGAGACTATATAACAATAATTTTTTTACTTTTTTTTTTCATTTATTTGTAGTTTCTAACTGATGGTATGCTGGTGAGGGAAATGATGGCTGATCCTTTATTAACAAGATACAGGTAAGAAAACATGGAATGAGTGCTTTCTGAAGTGCAGTTTGATAAAAATCTGCTTTTTCTCAAGCTATTATGATAGCACTTTTTATAAATTATTATTGGCTATTAAAAATTAAATACCAAAAAAGTGGAAATTATTGTAGAACTCTGACTTCTTTATGTTGTAAAAATGCCATTGTTTTTTAGCAGCAACATATTGTTGTTAGTTGATCATTGCAACACCAAAACCAACAGGATTTGATGCTGTAGTTTTGAGACAAAAGCTAGGGGGCCTTAAGGAGTCTGAATTGTTTCATTTCCTAATTTTAGATTATTTTTTCTTCCTTATACTAACAAAACAAACCAACAACAAACAGGCTTTTCTGATATCCAGAAAACCTACGCAGTATAATAAACACAGACTTGTTTTCTTCTACTCCTTTCCTAAAACTAGCCTGAATGGAGAACAGTGTGTGTGTCCCATGTGATGTCAGGTGCATTTTTCTCTCTGCTTCACTGCTGCAAGCTTTTTGAACTTCCCCAGTTCTGTGAGTGGCTGTGAACAGCAACAGTCCAGCAGCAGATTTCAAATAATGGTGTTTCTACAAGACAGGGAGACACTGATTCTAGTGTCAGTCAAGTAATTTCTGAAACTTTACCTTTCTCCTTTTTTCAGTGTCCTCATGCTGGATGAAGCTCATGAAAGGACTCTTTATACAGACATTGCCATTGGCTTACTAAAAAAGGTAATTCTTTTTTAATTCACTGTAATTTTAGTTTGGTAATTTTAATACAGCTCTCTGTAACTGTTTTAATTTCCATCCTTTTCATTCAACCTCTGATCCTGATGGCTGATAATTGAGGGAGTGTGATTGCTGCTTCCTCATTTAGGGAGTGTGATTGCTGCTTCCTCATTTATCCTGCAGCCTATTGTACATACCCAGCTATTTAATTTGGTCATCTGACATTGAGGATCCTCTGTTTCTTTCCCCTGATGCTGAAATGTCTCCTTAGCTGATAGTTCCAAAAATACACTGTTGATTCTGCTGCTGCTGATCATGTGAAGGGATCTGATTGGGGCTTGTTGCTGACTTTCATCCTACTAAAGATCTGACTCCCACCAGAAAGCAAGAGTAAATGAAAATAACTGACTGAATGCCCTTAAAATAAATATATAAAACTCCTCCAGATTTGTGGGGTGATATGACTGCTTCATTCATCACCTGTCTTGTAGTTTTACAGAGAGGTTTCTGGTAATCTGGGTTCTCCAAATCTTGGTTTTAGTCTTGTATTTCAGAAAGCATTTTTAACTCTGGCTGTTGTTGGTCTCTCCCAGGTCCAGAAAAAGCGTGGGGATCTTCGCCTGATTGTGGCTTCAGCCACCTTGGATGCAGAGGTACAGCTCAGAGATTTGGGCTGAAATGAGGTGACATTAGGTGACAGCTCCACTGCTATTCATGTACAGCTGTATCCTCTGTGCTGCTTAAATTGTTGCAGGAAAAAATCTGCTGTAGTTCACTTGCTCTGTTTGGTTTTCATGTTCTATCAGCAAACTGTTTTTGATGTTAATTTAAATATGAATCTGCTTTTTATGTATTGATATCTTTCTCCTTATTTATATTCTTTATAAAAATATGCTCTCTTGGCTTAATTAACTAAGGGACATTTAGCCCAGTTTTGCTGATAAAAATAACCAAGTAAAAATAAGTGATGAACTAATAGATTTAATATCAGTGAGATCTTATACATCCCTGATTGACTCATAGCCTGTGGACACTTATGTAAACTTAGTTAAAACATCCTGAATTTAATTTTGAGTAGGAAGAGCAGAGGAACTCTTAGAGCTGAGCAGGATTTCACCCAGCCCTGTGCTCTGCTTGTAGCAGCAGCAACAGGAGATGCTGTTTAGGGGGAGCACGTGAGGCTGTGCCCCTGCTGTGGGTCTGTTCAGTCTGAGCTGCCTCAGCAGCTGCTGTAGTTGTAGTACAGATATTACTCAGCACCTTCCTGCTGTTTCCCTCTACTCTGTGTTTATGGACCTGCTGGTTGTTCATTTGTCTTTGATTCTGCAAATCTCCAGGACACCATGAGTAATTTTCAGGAGTTTGCCACCTGCTGTATAATTAAGTACTTGGTCTAATCCTTTCAAATCTGTTTCATCAAGGATCTCCCAGTTATTGTACTGGGGATTTGTGTTTTAAAAAAACACCCCCAAAACCAGTTTTACATTTACTTTGTCACCTTTGATTCTATAAACCTCAGCTGTGTCTTTTCAGCCTTTTCTCCCCAAGCAGAGCCTTTTCAGTCTCCCCTTTTGACAGCTATTCCATCTCCTATATCATGTTCATTCCTCTTCTCCACTTTTCCAAACTTCTCTGTCCTTAATAAGATGTGAGGTGTGAGAGCTTGCATGTGGCACTGAAGGTTTCCTTTAATGACAGATACCATTTGTGTGCTGTGCTTTGGTAGTGTTTGCACTGCTGTGCATCCTGTACATTACAATGCAAAATTTTAACTGCCAGAAACCATATTTCAAATAGATAACAGTTAATCTAAAATGAGTTAATACAAGCAAAATGATTGGTGTGACTTTATAAATATTTTTTTTAATACAGAGAGTTGATGGTTATCTCTACAATGCTCATAAAAGTTGAGATTAATTATATGGGTCCTTAAGTTCCATCTTTTGCTGTTATTTATTGAAAATACTTCATGACAATAGATCTAAATTTATGAAGGTGTCACAATACATAAATCAAAAACTTTCATAAATCTTACCTAACTCTGCTTTTACAAAGTGAAATCTTGGTGTTCAGTAAGGGCTGTAAAATTTACTCACTCACCCAAAAATGGATGAGAATATGCAGGCCCTACACAGACCTTTTTGCAGCAATTATTTCTGAGTTCTTCTTAGCTTTGACTTTGCTAATTTGATAGATTTAACTTCCAGTTAAAAGTTTATTTATCTTCTTTTTCCAACTGTAGCAGCTGATATAATTAATTTTATTTCCCTTTCCAGTTTTTATGTCTCAAAATTATAAACATGCAACCTTATTTGTGCTAAATGCCTGAACCCTGGACAGAATAGAAGGCAACAAAATCAAACTTTGACTTTTTTTATGTGGCAGTATCAAATTGATGAAGTAAACATCCAAGTAGTAGTAATTTAACTTCTTTGTGTCTTTAGGTTTTTCTCTCCATTCCTTGAAATGTCAAACTGAAAGTGTTTGTTTTTATTTTTATGTAGAAATTCAGGGATTTCTTCAATCAAAATGATACCGGTGACCCCAGCAAAGACACCAGTGTGATCCTGACTGTTGAGGGGAGGACGTTTCCAGTGGACATCTTTTACCTGCAGAGGTGTGTTCCTGTCTGCTCTTGGCAGTAGTGACACTGTGCAGCTGTGCTATCATTTTGTCTAGGTCAGAGCTCTGTTTGTCCCTGCTGGAAGGGAGCAGTCTGTACCTATTTTTCTGCTCATGTCTCTGCTGTTTTCTCTCCCCATAGCCCTGTTCCTGACTATATAAAATCAACTGTGGAAACTACAATGAAAATTCACCAGATGGAGAATGATGGTGATATATTGGCATTTTTAACTGGCCAGGTATAGACATAAGCAATTTTGGTTTTTTGGCTGTATTGTGAGCTTTGCAAAGCTGCCTCAGTCTCCTGAGGCTTTCCTTAGTTGTGCTTACTTGATTCTCAGTAAAGATGACAAACATTTCTCTATTGATGGGAGCAAAACTAGGCCAGTCCCAAAGATGTGAAGACAATATGTGGCCTGAATTTATCAAAGCTAGTGATGGATGATAGTTTTTGTCATTTAATGCTGTATTTCTCAGCCTTGTTAGTGAGTGGAATTCTGTGTGGTTTGCTGGTGCAAGTCACACATACCCAGTTGTTAAATTGACAGTGAGTCATCATTAATAGTTAAAGCAAATGGAATTTCCATTTGTTAAGCTTAACATCTGAAGTGTTTGACAGAAAAACAAATTGCCATGAGATCAAAATGTACTGGTCTCTTCTGCTCTATTTGTGCTTGTCAGCTCACTTTGCAGCTGGGAAGAGCAAATGGGAGGCAGCTCATTTCTGCAATGAGGAGCTACCTTGAAGAACTTCAGTAACATCTTGCATATTTTCAAAGGCAGTTCCTCATCCCCTTTATTGATTTCACTTTGGGATAATGAATTTGCATTTTCATGAGGCAGTGTTTGAACATTTTGTTTTCTGTCTTTAAGAGTGAGCTGCCACAGCTGAGATTAAACATGAAGCTGAGCAGGAGGTGTCAGTGCTGTTCCTGTGCCATTCCTGATCCAGGCCCCAAAATATTTTGGCCTCCCATTTGCTCTCACCAGTTGAGATAGACAGGAAAATTAAATTGCTCACTTCTAAGCTTGGTTCAGTCCTTTCCCATGATTTTGCTCATGTGTTTGTGATATGACATTGACTCAAATAACAGTGAACACAAACATGTATATAAAACTTTATTTATTCCTAATAGCATTTTATCTTAAGAATATTACAGCATGGAGTGAGCTAGTCAAAATCCTGGAGTTTGAACAATTACAGTGGTATTATTTAGTGCAGTTTCTGTATCTAGGTGACAGGAATGTGCTGTTACAGTGCAGCCTGTCTCACTGTGTGCCCTGTGCTGCTGTGGCTGCAGGAGGAAGTGGAGACTGTTGTTTCCATGCTGATAGAGCAGGCTCGGGCCCTCGCTCGCACCGGGATGAAGAAGCACCTCCGTGTTCTGCCCATGTACGCTGGGCTGCCTTCTCCTGAGCAGCTGAAAGTCTTTGAGAGAGTCCCTCACACTGTCAGGAAGGTGAGCTCTTGTGTATGTCTCAATTTCTACCACCCTATTGGAATATGAATCCCAATATTACCAGTTAGATTGTGCCTGGGCCAGTCTGACCCTCACTGCGGAGCCAAAGGCGGCTTCTGTGGTGCTTTACCCCAGAGACACCTTCAGCTTGCTGATGGTTTCAGCTGGGCACTGAACAAGTCCAGGCTTGGTAGGGACTCCGTTTACCTCAGGAGGAAGGCTTCAGGCAAAGGTGAAGAGAAAAAAGGAGGGATTCTGCCAGAGGGTTGTATGCAGTGGTTTATTCCATGGTTACAGAGGTCTGAATCTTAGGAAGACCTCCAACAGAATGCAGAGCACATGGCCTGCTTCACCTTTTAAGCTCAGGGGGAGGGGAGGGGACAGGTGAGCCACCAACCAGGTGGGGGGGGCGGGGTCTCAAGGGACAGGGGACACCCAGACAGGCCAATGACCTCTGGGCCTGAGGGGCATCCTTTGAACTCGACCAACCACACAACGCCTTTCCTGGAATGTTAAGCCTGATTGACAGGACTCACTCAGCATGGGGGCAAGGGGGAAGGGAGAGGCGTAGGCACACCTGGGAAGGGACCCAGACGTCTAAACCAGGACATTACAACACACTGCAACACCACCCAGCAGGGTGTCTGCAGCACAAATGTTGCATTTATCAGGTTCACATCATGAGTTCTGTCAGCTTTCAAACTGGGAACCAGGAACATGTTCCCTGGCTTTCCTTTGCATCTTTGATCACTCCTAGACATGTCAGTTCCAGCTCTCTGTGCCTCATCAACTCTGCAATTTTTAAGTGTCTCCATACAACTTTGTATTTGTCGTCTTAGCCTCTGAACTCCTTTGCTTTTACCTTTTTCTTTCTTTTTTGTGATCTAAATGTCCATGGCTGTTTTCAACCAGTAGTAGAAAAATTGGTGACAGAGTGGGTAAGTGCTGTATTTTCATCTAAGGAACAAGTTCAAGCTTATTTGATTTTAGTGGAAAAAAAAGCTTTGTTTTGACTTCTGTAAGTCTTGTTTAGACATTTAATGTCACAGAAGTATATAATTGGATGTGATTAGTGCTTTCTGCTTATGCAGAGCCTGTGTTGGGGCTGAAATAAGCTGACAAAACTACACTGAGGTGACTTGTAATTCTTGTACCTGCTGTAGTTTGACAAGTGAAATTGTTCATCTGCCACTGCAGAACGTTTCATATAAATACTTCTCTCTGGAATATGACATTAGTAATTCAATTTTCAAAATTTACTTTTTAATTTCAGATGAAATAAACATTACATTTCCCACTGTAGTCTGGGAACAATTATTTTATTATTTTAGGGCATACATATATAAGTGAATCCCTACAGGAATGCTGAATGTGGAACTCCTAATCAGCTCTGTTTCCCTCCTATCTCCCACCTCATTCCTTATGTAGCTTTGCATCTTCCCACCTCACCTTACATAGCTTTGTGAGTGTACAAAGAATAATTCAGTGTAACTGAGAAGCAGAAAGAAAACATTCTTAGTTTTGTGGAAAACGCCAATCACTTGTTTTTAAAATTTTAAAAGTTTAATAGTAACAAAATGGTTATAAAAATAGTAATACAATTGGGGTAATAATAATTTGGACAGTTTAAATTAGGACAATATGAGACAATGGAAACAAAGTTACAGATGTCTGGGTACCTTTTTCTGGGCAGCATAAAAAAACCAGAGGATTAATCCTTAAAAGCAACAGCCTGTTGCATATTCATACAGCTCATACATGATACATAAATTCCATTCAAACACAGGATTCTGTCTGGTCAGCGTCAGCTTCTTCCTCCTAATCCTAACTCGGCTGAGTGAGATGGGAAGAAGTTCATTTATTCTGATAATGGAGCAGTAAATTCTCTTTCTCTGAAAGATTCAGGTGTCCTGTGGCTGCTATCTCAGTGCAAGTCCTTTCTTTAGAAAACAAGTATCTTACATAGCATAGTTTCTATTTTAACCTTTTGTTATAACCTAAAACTATGTTTAACACACTACTTAAGAGAATTTATACAGCATTACTTTCTAACACAACACAGATAATATTCATTTTAATATTTGCGAAAAGCCAATCATAAAATACACATTTTCCACAGTTTGCTACACAAGAACACTTGATTTACAGTCAGTTAATCTTTTTCTCTGCAAACACTGCCAAAGATTTTCTCTGCAAACACTGCCAAGCTCTTTTATGAAGAAAGAATAAATTTGAATAAGAAAGAGTTTGCTGTGCAAACTGGGCTTATTTCAAGCTGACAGCTCTTTCTGCTGCTTTTACTGTATCTTTATGTGCTCCTGAGTGTGTTCTGGACCTCTCATGGCTAAGGTGTCCCTGGCTGCATTGGCTGATGGGCTCACTGAGAGCTCACAGGATCCCCTCTGTGTCCATCCCTGCAGGTGATCGTTGCCACCAACATTGCCGAGACCTCCATCACAGTGCACGGCATCGCCTTTGTCATCGACTGCGGCTTCGTGAAGCTGCGTGCCTACAACCCCAAGACGGCCATCGAGTGCCTGGTGGTGGTGCCCGTGTCCAAAGCCTCGG